TTGTTCAGTTAAAATAATTTCAAAACTATAACCATGACTTGATATTATTCTTTTTTGCTTATTTTCATTAAGTTCTATGTTTCTTTTTACAGGATTTTTCAGCGACAAAGTTGTTTTCGTAAAATGATTTTTTTTTGCCAGAGATTTAATTTATTAATTTAATAACTGTTAATTAATTAATTAATAAATTAATAGAATAACTGTTTTAGAATATGTGAAATATTGTTAATAATCTTCATCTTTTAAGTTGATTACGAAGAATAAAGAAAATTTGTATTTTTTCAAAAAATACAATTGAACAGATTTAGTTTTTGTTGTCTATTTATTAAGAAAATATTAGAGCATTTGATCTTTCTACACATATTATTAAATAATTTCTTATATCTGAAAATGTATTTGATTTTTATAATAGTGTATAATAGTGTATAAGCTATAAAACTGTGAAATCCATAAATTTATAAATGAACTTAAATTGAGAAGGCCATAAAGTGAAGTACTTGAAATTATAACAATCATTAAAAATGTATAGTAAATTTTTGCCTTAAACTACATGCAAGTTCTAAATTACAGCTAAAAGCTTTTGTTCATGCACGACCGCCGCTTTTGAGTGTTCCATATTAATAATTATTCGTTCTTGGTATCAAAACCTACCCTCACCAGAACTGAACTATAATTTATCAAACATCAACTATTAATTATCCAATAACTTTATTACGTCACATGCAAGCAGACTTTGATAATATTGCCTTTCAATTTAATAACGATCGAAATTCTTTTCCTGTTGCAACTTAAATCAATAGCAATTTAGTATGTTTGAAGTACTCATCTAATCTAAAGCTAAAGCTGCTGCCTGTTTGAGTTTGATATACCTTCGATTTGTCTCGAGCAAATATTTAATTTCACTTGGATACTCCAGAAAAAGCCGACTCATGAAAATATCGAAATGCATAAAGAAATTTCAATAATTATATAATACCTTTCTCTATTTCATAAAATGGACACATATAATTATTAATTCGCGCTATATTGCTCATAATTAGATCTACATGTACAATTTAATGCGAGAATTTATGAATGGTTTACGTAACCAGAATACACAGACTTGTAACGATTATTCCCAATGCAAATTAAACTGAATGGTCACTTCAAAATATTCAATATGCAAAAGTGCAATAATAAACAAATTATAATTCTATATCGGATATTGCATTAAACAAATTAATTATAATAATCTGTTTATATAAATATTTAGTTAGTATATATTTTATATTCATAATAAATATTAATATTAATATAATGAATATATGTATTTTTTTAATGATATTTTGTACAAATTTTAATTACAACATTTGTATTCAGTAATATATACATCGATACTCGAACACTTCTACTTAGATTTTTCATATTGCATTACTTTTTATAACCAGTAAATTAAATTTACTATTGGTGCATGCAATTCTTTTGAGAATCATGTAATCATATACTTACACTTGGTTTTCTTTTTATGCGGTAGATACGTTCCACAGGAAAACGCATAAAAATAAATTGCGCAAAAATGGACTAGACACACGTATAAAAATAAAGGATACGTTCCATAACTTTTTAAAACCAAATAAAAGTAAATCAATGAGTTACAATATACCAAAAATCGCATAAAAAAGGGTTTATTAAATTTTAGAAAAATAATTACTCCTACTATATTCTTTCTGAAATGTTTATTTATAATTTTATAAAAACGTTAACAATCATAGACAAGTTTATTAAATTTCAGAAAAATANNNNTTTATGAAAGTTAATCTTTCTTCACATTTTTTTCTTTAGAATTATCGTCGCTATATGAGAGTGTTCGGCATAATTTTCGAACTGGATCGAAATCACTTTAATCACTAGAAGAGATAGTCAGCATATCAGATCTATGTCCAGAAGATAATGATTCTTCACAAGTAAAATTAGTCTCAACTTCACATGTTGATTTTTTCCCTTTGACAATATAATCAGTGATTAAACTTTGCGATGGCTTTGCTATTTTTTTTTGTACAATTCCTGATATCCACAAAAGCAATTCTGAAGCTTGCGTTGAAACTTGAATGCTTGTTCAGAATTATCATCTTTTTCGATTTGACACAAATTGGCAAACCAAATTTGTATCAAAACGTGTCAAAATTGTCTAAAATAGTTATTTAAAAAAAATGCTTGTTGAAATGAAAAAACGCATAACTTCAAAACCGCATAAAAATAGTACGCATAAAAAGAGGATCGAGTGTAATTTACAATAAATTGAATGTTCATTACATAGGTTTTTCCCCAATATTTTAGATCTATCATTTTGATGTTCTTTCTTTATACAAGATTTTGTTTGTTATGTCATAGTATATTTAATTTACAATGTTATTCCTGCGAATATTAATTAAATCTAATGGCGGTAGACAGTTGTTTGTGGTAAACTTCCCAATGGAAGTTTTTAGCATTATATTCTTCTGTATATTGTAGGTTGGCTACCGTCTTGTAGGTTAACTTCAGTATATTGATTTGTGTATCTTGCTGCTATCCTTAATACTGTCATTGTCCATGGACTTGGCTAAAGGTCCATATGCTGAACCTCATTCATTTCACTGTCCATCTGTGATGAACGATGGCCCTATTGCTGCAAGCACCGAGAGGGCTCACAAAGGGCCTGGTGTTATTTATAAATAAGTCATTATGACTTAGTATAAATACTACTTAGCAAGATCCCATAACTAATCATTGTGTAACGACTATTCTTAATAACTATTGTTAATCACCATGTTGTGAACAAATTCAAAAGAACTATTCGATAATGACTACTAATATGTACATCTGTCTAATCAATTAATGATTAGGTAAAGTTTGGTACTATCTTCCTTTACCAAATATTGTACTCCCACTACGCCAATTTACTACTATATAACATAATGTTTGTGTAATACAAGAAGAGTCCTAAAAGAGTCAGAGTCCAAGTCATGGATAGTCCTAGTCCTAGCTAGTCGTTTGTCCAAGTTAGTTTTAGTCTTAGAGGAGAGTCCTCCCGATTCCTAGTTAAACTCATAAAAACCGTAGTAACAAACTTAGCAACTGGAATCTAGACATAAAAGTTATTAATAATCTTATAATAGAGAATAATAAAGTGTTTATTAAACTCCAACTTCACCTCCAGTATTCCTTAAAAACTCCACTAGGATTCCACAACATAACTACGAGACATTCCACAGTGTCCAGAGATATTTGAATCCCGTGACACGAAATTCGAACCGGCGCGCACGGAATCGTGGGTAGAGCGACTTGACCATTCGGCTATTAATCGCCCTATACAAGATAAACATTATAAATTATGTCAGTAGAAGAAATATTTAAAATTTATCAGTGTTTATATAAAAGTATGTATTTTTATAGTATATATTTTAGCAATACATGAAATCAATAGGTGAATTTAGCAAGGGTTTTTATTGATCGTGTGAACGACATGTTATGACTTTAATTATGGAATTAAGGCCTACAAATGAAAGCGTTTAAGGGCTTTGTGTTTCTTTTATATCAAAGCTGTATTTGGCTATTAATGCTACAAATGGTAAAAGTTGGAAACTGTGCCGATATTTTCTTCAAAATATAAAATATTTTAAGCATTTATTTTTAACATAATCTAATATTGTCATACTTCAGTTAACATTACCTCCGTTAACGAAGCTTTGATATGATGAAGTTCAAGTCCCATTTAATGTAAAAAAAAATCCAATTTAAGATCAATAATTGTTAGCATTTGACAAAATTTAACCCAAATTAAAAAAAGTAAAAAAGTTAGAAATAAATATTTACTTGCTGTTTTTATCAATGTTCAATTATATCGTATTTTCATTACCACTAACCATAACCAAGTTACAAATAGTTTTATGAGTTCCACGTACATCGATTAACACAAGTTTTTAATTTGTAAAATGAGAAGAAAATATTTCTTTTAATTAATTAACAGTTCTTCTACCGTGAATGAGCAGCATCAAGTTTCATTATAAAAGTTTGTTCATTTTAATTACGTTATATTTAAATAGAACGTTCGTAATTATCCTGGTTTGGTGGAAATTGTGTGCAGGTTGGAAGTTGCTTGCAGACTGAAAATCTGTAGGCATCAGGATCAGATAAGTAGGCGTTTCAAGATAAGGCCGATTTGTCAAGAAGGAAAAGTCTTAAGGCAAGGAGAATGGCCAAGTTACGGCATGACGCTGCAAACATCCAGTCCTTAAGGATGTAGGGAATAAAATAAAAGGAGAGAACCGAATGGAATGAAAATAAAGGGCCGCAATTCGCGTGCTGCTGCGTCGAAATTTTCCATTCTCCGGTACTTCCATTCTTTTTTTTTTGTTGACCCATTCCAAATGTGTGCCTTTTTTATTTGTTTTTGTTCAATGTATAAAGTTTCATTAAACTAAATTACATCAACATATATACAATGAAAAAGTAATATCGCTTTTGTGTAAACGTTATTTATCATTGTTAAATATGATGAAGATTAATTTCATTTACAATCGCAAGAATTGATACTGCTCTCAGGGCTCTCATATTTATTTGAAATGAAAATCTAACAACAATAAAATCCAATTAAAAACTGACACTTTTGTTTTTTTTTACTTGCTTCCATCTGTAATTGATCCATTTCCAATTATCCAGTTACAAAGCTTCAGAAAATATTTCTGAACTCTACCCGTATATTAACTATAATTATTACTCAAACATGTTAGATAGTCAATTGCAATTTAATTTTCTAATTACCTACTAATTAAATATCAATTTGTATTAAGTTTCTAATTACAACGAAATAGCTTTGCCCGTTCAATTATTCAATTAAATGTTCGATTCTAATAAAAATATATTACATTGAAATGGAAAACAATGATCATTAAATATTTGATCAAAAGAACTAACATTTTGAACGTTTTAAAATAAGGCGTGTGGAAACGAAATAACAGCAAAGATAAATATAAATAAAATACCTTCGAGTACTAGAACGCAATCGGTGTGATTTGGATAGATCTGGGCCGGATATGCAGGACTGAAGAACTCCTGTTTTTCCAGGTCGACGTCCACGAAAGCATGACAAGGATCTTGAGGGCTGAGCATCTGCCTTGGAGCATTCATGTCGCCCTGGGGCATCTCAGGGAACACAGTGGTCACCTCGCGGCCACCTCCATCACCTAGAACATGCAAATTAGATTATCCTTTCCATCTCGCATCGTGACCCTCTTTATCAATGAAAGAATAATCCAATTAAAATTTCATTAAAGAACGAACCCTCCCACTCTTACCATATCGAGTGCAAAATAATATCATTAAATTGGGTACGATTTATCTAATTATTATTGATTATTTCTTTAGATTCATGCACAAAGCCATTGAGCCAATTATGAAAAATGATACTTTTTTTTCTTATTGTAAAATTCAAGATTTTTTGCTTAAAAGAGTTTTAAAATTCTTAAGATAATATATTAAAATAAAGTTTATACATAACAAAATGGAATATATCAAAAGTATTGTTCATTATTGTATTTATATTTGTAATTTATGTTATTGATTTATTTCAGTTATTATTAAATGATACTGATGTTTTCGTATATTATTTCATATAATTTTTATATATTTATTTGCAATAATTGAATATTTTAATTATTGGAATTGAAACGAAAAAAAAAAGTTCCAATTAAGTTATTGCTTTTTCTGCATTTATAATGTTAATATTAATTGAGTTTAACTGAAATAACTTTTAAGATTTTTTTTTGTTTAAATATTTTTTTTAATTTAATATTGCGAACGTTATTCGAGACAAGATTGAAGAAGAAAATGAAATATAGCGACTGGCGCCAACAATAACGTAACTTAATGAAAATGTATTACCTAAATAAATATGAACAGGGGCTTGCCTTGTAATATATTTATTAAATTGGTTTACGGCAATTCTGTCGTTGCTTGTGTTTGGAGCCCAGTTTTCCATCCCAACTTTATTATACCACAATCATATAAAATAAGCAATTGGAGGATAATGCGCACCACAGAGCAAACATTGCGTTCAGAATTCCATTTGGAATAAACGATTTGCAAACATTCAGCAAAATATAAATAAATACACAATAAAAGACGATTTTTTTTGTATTCCTTACAGAACTTCGCTTAACGAGTTTAATCAATTCCAAAATTTCCGGATTTTTGAAACATATTATACACATAATATGTGCACACATGTTTTAAAAATGATGTAGCAGACGCACAATCTGTGACTTCTCTTCTCATCGTCACTGGCTATGCGAAACGTCGCTCGTTAAGCAAGTCATTTTTCTTACAATTCATTTAGCTCGTTATGCGAGGTTCCACTGTATTCCATATTTCTTAGTGTTCTAGATTAATATATTACTAATGCAACACTTGTATCAATCAATATTTAAAAATCGGTTGCATATCTCGGAAAAGGTATAATATTATCACCAGATTGGTGACCGTGAACGTCACGGTACTGTGGAGCAGGTACATCGTGTAGTAGACGAGATTAGCAGAAGTCTTGAGGAGAGGAGATACTGTTCCGCTGCATTCCTGGACATATCTCAGGTTTTCGATAGGGTGTGGCATGAATGGCTGTTATAAAAAATTAAGAGGTGCCTTCCCCACATATACTATTCCATCTTTAAATCATACTTAACTTTCAGGTCAAATACAATGACGAAATGACTACTCTACGACCGATTAGCGTCGACAGACCTGTCCTCCAGTCCTATTAAATCAGCGGAGAACCGGGGTAAATTACCCAAAATGGGGTAAAAATGAAATTTTTGGGGGTAAAAGTGAAACTTTTGTGAGTAAAAAGTATATATT